TTTCTGGAAATGTGAGTCCTGCTGCCTTTATTCCCTTTTTCAAATCAGAGACACAAATTTCCCACTGAGCCTGAACTAACCGCTTCCCCTTCACTTTTCAGTTCAAGATCGCCAGTGTTCAGAGCAGCACTGGACTCCTCTCTACCAACTCACAATAAACCTGTTAAACCTTACCCTGGTCTCTCTGTTTGGTTTCGTGCATGTGGGTCAGATCTTTGGATAAATTATGACAAAAACATTCATATGAATACTTTGTATCGACTGTCATGTTTTACTAAAAATTCAAATACACGTTAGATATGAATTACATTTACTATAGTTTTTACCAGGTAAAGTTAATATGCACTGGAAAAAGTGTAGCACAGAGTTGTTCATTCAAGCTAATAACTACCATTGAATACAATGTAAAATAATTGACTTGGTTGTGAAAGTCTATTTTTTTGCATTCTGAGGTGTCAATTTTGATTCAGACTGAATTAATAACAATTCTGAAGGGAAGAAAGCAAATATTTTGGTTCCTCTCAAAACGTGATTGAGTCACGTGACTCAATCTGAGTCACGTGAGAAGAAGTTGGGGAGAAGTGCTTGGAGAGCTTCGTCCATTTTGGCATGGGGAAGAAGGAATGATTAACGTCCTAGCGCCTCATCAAAGAATAAACCTGCGGTAAGTACTAAACTAAGCTGATGTAAACGTGTCTTAACAAGCCTACAATTGTATTAATGCAAAAGACTGAGTTAATGTCACCTGGTTAGCAAGCTGAAAGTCCCACCTAAATGTGGGTATCCCAGTAAATGCTTTCTTTTTCGCCGGGTTAAATGTGGTGTAATTTCTGAACTTACACGTATTTTACGAGAAATATAATTATGTGTACATTGTTCGGTTGTAGCTGGAATTAATCAAGGTAGGCATAATTCGTTACCAATCAATAGCTTCCACCACGGTTAGCTCGGTTACACTGTGAACTTTACTAGCTTAACCCATGTAAAGCCATGTTAGCAATTAGTTAGTCTAGTGCAGGGGTCGGCAACCCGAGGCTCTGCGGCTCTGAGTGGCTTGGGAAAATAAATTACTAAAAAAAACTAAGTATTTAATTTAAGTCAGTGTTTCCCGCAGCCCTATCTTGGTGAGGCGGTAGCTTGAGTTTGGCGAGGCCTCGCCAAACTCACGCTACCGCCTCGCCAACGTTCCAAAATAAAAAATAAAAAAAAACCCAAACCCCTGAAGTTTTAATTCATTGCCAGGCCCAGACATTAAGACAGAATCTGTCTCCGCCAGTCACGTGACATTTGTTGCTAAGACGCCATTTTAGGTGGAAAAGGCGTAGTGTACCGCGCCTGAGGTAAACAGATGAGTAATTTTCTTTGATCATCCGAGGAGACGTGTGTGGGGGGGGGGGATGACGTCTTCGTCGTCATCATCATCGGTGAACTATATCTGAAAAGGTAATTAGTTAATTAAAACTGATAATAGAAAATTAATATCTGCCTCGTGTGCGCTGACAAATTAAGATAGGATTTAGTTTTATGTATTTAATTCGACCCCCCGCTCGACAGTTATCCGCGCAAAACTGGTTCCGGCCGACAACTCACCGCCTCGCCTAAGCTAATTCCTGCGGGAAACACTAAGTGCATTTTATTTGTGTTAGTTCTTTAATATTTTAGTCATAAATTGGAAGATTATTGTGATCTTCACATATTAGAATTAATATGTTATTGTTTTTTCGTCGTTAAAAAAAAACGTCATACTCGCATTTGAAAGAGACATTCAGACATTGTGTTATTTTTTCAAGAATTCAAAATGTGTTCATTAGATAAAATTTTCTTTTCTCTGTAGCACTTTGTTGATTTCATAAGCAACCCACTTTTCTTGTTTATACAAAGTATAAAGGTAAGAAAAAACAATATAAACAGTTTCTAAAGTCTAAAAAAAATAAAACAAAAATACTACTTGTTCTTCTTCCTCAAAAACTTCTTTTTTACAGACTTAAATACTTCTAAAGACGAGGGAAAAAATATTGATACATTAAAATATCCCAATATCTTTATATGCTGATATATTGCCATTTAAAAACACCATATCAATCTCTTTTACTAATGAAATATTGATATATGTCATCGTTATGCTACGAAATCCCCAGAAAATTCACAAAATTTCACCATATTTTTATATGTTGATATATTGACGCGGTATCGATCTATTTTACTAACAAAATCTCACAAGAATTTGCAAAATATCACGAGAGTTTGTAACAGAACGATGAAATTTCATGAGATTTATGAATATATGAAATCATATTTCATATATTTTGCCTCAGGTCTCCCAGAAAGATCAAGCCGAGCAGGAGCTGGAGAGGACCATCATGGCAGTCTTCGTCTTCAGAGAGAATTCAAGCCTTCTACCGCAGCCCGAAGACGTTGGGATTGTCATTGATGGTGTGGAAGTCCTCAATGAGCTGCCTTCTGTTGCAGCTGGAGTGGCAATGCTCTTTCGACTTTGCTATGCTCTTAACATGAAGTATCCACAGGGTTTCAGGTTCACCTTTGAGGCCCTTCAGAAGATCCTGATGGAGCTTGGTTCCAACAAGAGGACTTCCAATATTCGCAAACTCAGCGGTGAACTCAAAACTGCACAGTAGTGTATATTTGTGTGTGCTCAATGTGTGCATGTAGTTGCCACTTGCATCTATTTAAGAGGTAGACCACCTCACAGCACTTTGTTATACAGGCTCACGGGGTCACTTTCATGGAGTGCTTTTGTTGAAATTTTAGTTCTTTCATGATGTTTAGAGATGCAACATTCCTTCAAGTTCAGATGTGTTTGAACAGTTCAACAGTGGATGCTTTCTGTCCATTTAATTTTGCTTGATAAGCCATATTGTCTTTATTTCATTGCTCTGATGTAGAGCAACAATGACATGTTTATATTTGTTTGTCTGAACATGCAACTTTTTTTTGGTCCTTTTTTACTTGAGGAATAAATGGCTTAGAAAAAAACTGTTGCTGGAGTGTGTTAAGTGTGATGTGAGTGATGCAAATTGTTTATGAAACCAAGTTTATGAAATATGAAAAAAAAAAGACTTTCATGGTGCCAATGAATTAACTGGTGTTAATGCCTGAATATTAGTTTGGTGCAAGGTATATATATTTGATGGGTTCAATTTCAATATATTAGTTTGGTTCCAAAACTAAAATGTAAATAATTCAACTTGGATAAAGGTGAAGAATTAATATTGGGTCAAGTAAAGTAATATGGTTGGAGTCAATATTAAATAGTCATGTTGTACCAAACCACTTTATTTAGATTCTGTGAAGTCAAATATATTAGATGCAACAAATGGACATCAATTTTTTTAATTTAAGCTGGGCCACACTTTTTCCAGTGTGGATTCTTGCTATACTTATCCTATACTGTCTATAGGCGAATAGTGAGAAAATGATGTTGCTCAAAGACATCTGTTAAATTTCAGATCATCCTCTTTCATTTTTATTTAGTACATTTAAAACAAGTCTGTCTGATCAATGTTCTAAGATAAGCCTGAAACTACATTACTAAACTGACGATATCCAGTAAAATGTATTGATACACATCAACATCCAAACTGTTGATTCTTCTTCTGTGATGCTATTCCAGGTTTTTACTGCAGCTTCTTTCAGTTGTTGGTTATTTATGGGGTTTCTCTCTCAGTTTCCTCTTCAGGAGGTGAATGCATGATCTGTTTGGTGAAGGTCTGGTGATTGACTGGCCTTTCTAAAACCTTCCACTTCTGCTTTGTGAGCAGCGTGCTTTGGGTCATTGTCCTGCTGCACGATAAAATTCCTCCAGATTAGTTTGGATGCATTTTTCTGAAGATGAGAAGACAGAATGTTTCTGTTCATTTCAGGATTCATTCAGCTGATATTCAGTAACGTCATCAATAAATATTAATGAGCCCTTTCCAGAAGCTGCCATGTTCGCCCAAAGCATGAAATTAAACCAGTACTCATGAAATAATCACCACCGTGCTTCACAGATGAGCTTCTAAGTTTCAGCTCTAAAGTGGCTCACTTTTTCTCCACACAGTTTTTCCATCACTTTGGTAGAGATTACTCCTGGTCTCATCATTCCATAAGATTGTGTTACAGAACTTTTGGGGCTCATCTCTTTATAAATTTAGATGTCACTTTAGAAATTGCTTATAAAATGACTCCTTAAATTGTCTTTTACTCCATGTCCTGTGTTTTTGGTCAGCTATTAAACCCTTTTAGTTTAAATATTCCTGCATTAATTAACCTTTATTTTCCGAATATGTTCACATAACCTTTAAACCACAATTGTTCCACAAAGTAATTTTATAGGTTTTCACACAGTTCAGAGAAAACTCCAATATGATCAGAGTCTAGACAGTCCACCACGAATCAAAATGATAATAGAGAATTTAAGACTCTTTGAAGGTTGTTTTCAATAAATAAGCAGGTGATACAGGTTTTACTGATCTGATTTGCTTAAAAAGTTTAAAACTAATAAAACTAAAAAGATTTAGGGTACATTTTCTTTTTAATCCCTGCACAATCTTTCTCTATGAGTAAAGAGTAACCAGGAGTGGAAATAGAAAGCGAAGCCATAGCCACATAGGCATCCCCAGCCAATCATTGACTAGACCTGTGTAGATCCTGGATTGAGGGAAGATCAGGATGATCCTCTCTGCAAACCTCATTATTCATTACAGTTTGGACCGGTCCTGTTTGTTGATAAGAACCAAACCACAGAGATGGATGAACATAAAACAGACTCAAGGATGGAGGTATAGAAAATGATCAGCTGCTGCTGTGGAAGGTTGAGCTTCCTGAGTTTCTGCAAGAAGGACAGTCTGAGATCACAGTTTGATCACTTTGTTAAAATTTTTTTCACTCACATATTTCTCATATTTATTATCAAAAATGTTCAAAAAGTAAATCCATATTAATCCTTTTGACCTGTTGTTTCTGTGCTCAGCCTAAATCATTTGTTGTTTTCCAGATCCTCATCCAGCAGCGTCTCTCTCAGTGAGTCCTGACAGAGTTCAACACTTCATCTCTGACTCTGTGTCTCTGAGCTGTGAGGGAAACTCTGCTGAATGGAGAGTGAAATTGATTACAGAAACAGGTTTACTGTTTGACTGCTTCAGCATGGGGAACATGAACAGATCTACATGTGGCATCAATATGGACTGGTATCATAGTGGAGTGTACTGGTGTGAGTCTGGATCAGAACACTTCAGCAACGCCGTCAACATCACTGTGCAGGGTAGGTTATGATTTATCATGTTTTTTTTCTCTCTTTCCTTATTTTCAACATTAACACATTTCAGTATATTTAATGTTTAATACATACTGTAACCTCTAACTGAAATATTTGCTGCTTGATAAATTATTCTCCTCAAATCCTCACATCTATATAATTTTATCATCAAGGTTGTTCAACAAGTTATTATTAGACATTTTAAAAATAACCTTTGTTCAGTTTTAAAGTAATTTCTCAGCTATAGCTAATATTATCATCAATTGTTAATTGAAAATGCTCTTTAACTTTTCTACAGTAGAAAGTAAAACTGACCCATAAGAGCTTCGTTATTATTGGTTGTCCTCTAGTGATCATCTTTCTGAGACCTCTCTCAGAGGAACGGTTGATGAAATCTCAATAAAATCTAGAAAATAAAAGTGAACAGAACATCCTCAGCCTCCAATAATGTCGCTCTAGGAGCCATTCTGTGTTTAATCTGATATCCCAGTGAGGTCACAGGGTGACGCTTTTGTGTTGGTAGATCAGTTTATAAATTAAAAACTTCTGTTTAAAGTGATCAAACTGAAGGGAAAGGCATCTTTTCAAGGTTTTTACAGTTGTAATGATTACAACCATGACATGAAATTTTCATATCCTTCAACAGGGATGTTCTTCTGGCAAACGGGTAGATAAATAAGGATCTCACCGAATTTGGTGGAAGCTGCATCTTGCTCGTAACGTTCGCCATCGTCCCTCTAATTGTCTGCACCTGCCCATTGCGTGCAGAAGCCTGTTAAAGGGCAGTATTTTCAGCGCCCCAAGATCATAAATTTCTGAGATGCTGATTGGCCATTAAATTCACCTAGCAATAGTACATGATTGGCAGATTCTCTGCACATGTGGGGCAGTCTGATCAGCGCCCCAAGAAAGAGACGGTAGGAGTCTGTCTGTGGAAATCCACAAATGAATGACAGTAGGTAGGGAAATGTAGTTTATATAATTTGTTTTGCTTGTAGGTACACACTCTAGAGAGTAAAACTGACATTTATGAGTTAATTTGTAAAAATATATTTTACGTTTCTCTCTTCTTATCAGGGAGGGCGGTGCCCCAGCGCCCCCTATGGGCCAGCCGCCACTGTTGTAATCCCATCAATCTCTGATGAAATGTTCATGTTCTCTGATTGTTTTATAGAAGATATTAATGGTATTATCCTGGTGAGCCCCGTCCATCCTGTGACTGAGGGAGATCCTGTTACTCTGAGCTGCAGAGATAAAGAACAAAAACTTCTCTCCAATGTGTTTTTCTATCACAATAACAAACTGATCCACAATGACGGCAGAGAGGACCTGAACATCTCTACAGTGTCAAAGTCAGATGAAGGTTTCTACAAGTGTGAACATTCAGGAAAGAAGTCACCACAGAGCTGGATGGCTGTTAGAGGTGAGAGGATGAAAACATTTGATAGATTTTATTCAGGAAAACCATTAAACTTTAATCAATGAACAAGGTGAACTCTAATAATGTCAATGTGAATGTGCTGTGGGTTTCTGTCCATGTTTGCATCACATAACATCTGCAGATTAATAACATGGCTTTCTAATATTTATTTTCTCCAGTTCCTCTCACCAGTCCTGTCAGCTCTTCACTTCCTGTGCTGCTGATCGTTGGAGCAGTTATTGGACTCATTCTCATTATTCTCCTGATGTTGTTGTGGTGCTGCAGACGGTCTAAGGGTGAGACCTTTTTCTGCTCATATCAGATCAGATTCAGTTTAAAGCTTTATTTGCTCAAAAGTTTCAGATTTGTTTTGATGTTTTAACATGAATAAGCAAAGGATAATTTTTACTGCAAGTCATTACATCTCCTTTCTCATCACAGGTTTAAGCTGTATCAGGTGAGCACTAAACATGTGTTCTCTCTCTCTGAACATGCATCAAAAATATATATATTTTTTTTTAATTAAGTTTTCTATTATTTTAGTTTGAACCAATCAGAGGGCAGTAATGAAACCTCAGCCACCAATCCTGGAGTGACCCAGACTGATGGTCCCATTTACAGCTCTTTGCTTCATGGTTAGTAGCAGATTACTTATCCTGGTTAGTAATCTGATGTTTCATTACTTTGTAGATTACATACCTTTTTAATCAATCTATAATTATCATTTTTCTATATTCCAGCTCTAATATCCAGTTATTGTTAGACAATACTGTAAACTAAATTAATGAAAAATAGCTAAACGCAAAAACTATTCTAACCTTTTTGTAGTAAAACATTAAAGTAGTGATAATCTGATTTATTTCCAAATATTAACCTTGACCTTGGTTTATTGTCTGTAGAGGACCTTTCCATCTATGAGACAATCCAACCCCTCAGAGCCTCTGGACATGGTAAAGAATATTATTATAATCTCAAAGAAAGAACTAAAACTTTTTAAGAAGGAAAGTTATTCTAAAATAGAATACAAGAAATAAGATTTTTCTTCTCTTATATATTTTCTCTATTTGTGTATTTTCTATTTTATTGTTGTGACAGTCCCAGCAGAGAGGCCTCATCTTCCTGCGAAGGATTCTGATTATCCTAAAGTTAAACCCGATAATTACAGCTGAACATGGAGTTCAGATGGTTAACATCTACATACTCACTCTAGACATCAGCAGAAAGCGTCCCCATCAGAGACACAGCTGAGAACTGTTGGATTATTGGCTTGTTTATTCTGCTGTTTCTTGCCTGAGATATCTTTGATTTATAATAGTACTGGTTTTCAAATATCAGACCTGTCTCTATAGTAATTGTTTTAGCAGGAATCTGTCTTTTACTTGTGCTGATTATTATTTATCAGGTTACGGAAATATAACAAAAATAAACTATATTAATCTTTGATATGTTTAATGCTATTGTTGCAACTTAAAGATGTATGGTTTTTTAGACACCCTTTCTCTGAGTGGCCAAAATATATTGCAAACATTACCAAGCTTCCATCTAAGTTCTAATATAATTTTCTGTCTATACAGATTGACAGAACAGTTATTGACTGCATGGATGATGGTGCTCTCTCTGGTTACATCCTAACATATGGAGATTTCACAGCAGCATCAGGCTTCTATTAGGAAAGTTAAGGTAAACATTAGGGCTCAACAAGTCGACTATATTAATCTGAATTGACTCATATTTGAACAAACAATTGCAAAAAAATTCACAAATTATATTACTAACTGTTGTTATGCACTCTACCAGTAGGTGTTGACATGTTCACACGAATTCACATGAACTGTGGGGATCATTGAAGCAATTTGGCCAAACGGTTCAATACTCATGAGGCTTCATCACAATCACTACCAGTTTCATTTTTAGCGAGTTTCAAAAGGCTCAAACACACATCAACTTTTTAACAGAAGGGACACCTATAAGCCGAGAGCTTTACCAATGAGTGTCATGGCAGTCAAGATGGAAAATATTTACTTTAAGTCGGCTAATTGCCTACCTGCAGCAGCTCTATACAGTCACCATCTCCACATAAACTACAATGTAACAGTGCGCAGCCATACTGATTAAGCTCATTTTGAAACTCCCATGGAAAAAAATAGTGCGAGATTTCAGACTTAAAAGGATTTTAACAACACAATTCAAACAATAGAATCAATTATTGATGTAAAACAAAGTCAATTAAAAATCACTATTAAGGTAAAAACAAGTGTCAGCTGAAAATCAGTAATGAGCTTGCTAAATTGTAGTTGTCCATCTGAAACAGTACATCAAATTTTGTACTTTTTGTTTTAGAATTTTTGTTTTTTACAAACTGTAACCCACAAGAAGGGTCACTCCAATTACACCTGATAATAGCAGATGGTAAGTATGTTAATCACTTCGATGACTGATACCAACACTACACAAGTATAAAGAAAGTGGGGCCTGATCAGAAGATTTTAAATTCACGGGAGCCTTGGTGTAAGCAACAACAGAGGAGAGCACACAATGTCCCTTCATTGGCTGCCCATCCAACACAGAATACATTACAAACTTTGCCTCCTCACTCACCAGTGCATACATGGAACTGCCCCTGCTTACCTCAAGGAACTCCTCACACCGCCTCCAGAACCCTCCGCTCCACCACCTCCACCCAATGACTGCACCAGCCAAGAGTCAAGCTCTGCACAATGGGAGATAGGGCCTTCCAGGCAGTTGCCCCACAACTCTGGAATGGCCTCCCAGAGTCTCTTAGGGTCCCACAGAGTGTGGAGGCGTTCAAGAAAGGCCTCAAGACATTTTTATTCAAAATGGCCTTTGAACATTAGTTAGTATTTTATCTGTGTGGTTTTATCATTATTTTACTGTTTTGTTTTTACTACGTATGTTATTTTATTCTAATGTCTCGTTTTAACTATGTATGCTGTTTTTATTGTACGGTTTTGTTTTAACTATGAATTTTGTAGCACTTTGAGATTTTTTTTAAATGTAAAGTGCAATACAAATAAAATGTATTATTATTATTATTATTATTATTATTATTATTATGTCTATAAGAAAGGGTAGAATTTAATATAGTGAACAATTGTGGATCCACATTTACAAATAACCAAAATTGCGTGCTTTAAAAAAAAAAGAAAAAAAGAAAAAACAGAAATAAATAATCATCATTTCAATGTTTCTGTCAAATGTTCACTCAATGCCCCACGGCTAGCGACCGGTCGGGTCACCATCAATCAGTTCACTCAGTCCTCTGGGCTGGGGCTCGCCAGCCAAGTTCTGAAGAGGAGGATCTTGGGGTGTCTGGGTACTACAGACCAAAAGTGCACCAAAACGGGAGGGGAAGAAAAAAAACCTGACCGATGCTCTGATGCTACATGAAGCTACGCTGGGAAGCTTGCGATTTTCAAGATTCTTCAACAAATTGGACAACATTTTCCAGGCTATTAGTGAAAACAACCGTCAGCTGTGAGCTCTCTGAGCAAAATCTCAGAACAGCAGTTAAAGGGGCTGTGATGTTATGAGCCGGAAAGCTCTTGAACTCCAATACCCAGCATGCAACAGGGCGCGTGACGTCACGGGTTGGAGGTCAGAGCGGGCGGCGGTTAGGAATGTAGCTTGCTACTGAATGGTTCTGTGAAGTTCGAAATAAATATACAGAACAAGCATACACGCCTCTTCTCTTATATAGAAACGAAGAACAAATCAGGGGCGGGACAATCAATCTTATCGGCTGATGTGAAATCAGCGTGTGCCAGCTATTGGTTGTTTAATCTGTCGCTGAAAACAATTGCTAAAGGTATATGTCAAAGTTTTTAAAGATTTTTAGCAGTTTTTATCTATATTTATGAACATATTTATCAACTTATTTTTAATTAAGAAATGAAATCCATATATTTTAAGTAGAACAAGTATTATTGAAGAAGATATTAAATTAAGATCTATATATATATATATATATATATATATATATATATATATATATATATATATTTTTTTTTTTTTTTTTTTTTTTTTTTTTAATTGTGGTTTTAACACTGGGTTACACTAAAAAAAACAGGATCTCCTGTTTACCAGACAGGACGGTTCTTCTGATTTATGTTATTCTGTGCTTTCTTGTTCAGTGGTTTCTTTTCCATTTTGTGTTATATTTATAAAGTCTTGTATTTTTTTAATTGCTCTCTGTGGCCCTGTTGTGTCAGTCCCCTTCTCCTAGTTCCCTTCATGATTTTTCAGTCCACACCTGCTCCTAATCTGCTGATTAGCCTGATCTTTGTTCAGTCTCCCATTTATACTCCTCTTCAGTTTTGTCATTGCTTGGCACGTCATGTTTCCACTGTTTTTGGTTTCTAGGATTTTGTTATTGGGTTTTGTTTCTGTTGCCCTTTTTACTTAATTAAACTTGCAAAACTCATCTCTGCCTCCCTCATCTCTGCATTTGGTTGACACCCTTGTTCTTGTTTCCCCACATAGCAATGATTTTGTTTAGAAGGACATTTGATCAATAGTTGCTTAGTTTAAAAATTTCCAAAAACAAGTTTACAACTAACTTTAATATCATCTCATTTCAGCAGATGTATTTTTGTTATGACTGTACACCTACTTTGACAAGCTGAAAAAGTTGTTAGTTGAAACATGAATTAATAAACATCTGTTACTCAACAATTTGGTGTATTTATTTGTATAATTCTTACTATTTGAAATATAGAAAATACCTATATATGTATATATTTGATGTCGTAATTAAAAAATGTAACAACTGCAATGGAAAAAGAGGAATCAAATTCTTTAACATTGGAAGATGTCAGCCAAAGTTGAAAGGGTTAAATCATAGCAACGTCGCACCACAGTGCTTGTGCTTAGGATTACCTATGAGTATTACTACTTCAATCACTAGTCTCTTGTCTGGCTCTGCTGTCTGTATACAGCAGAGTATTAGGGACAGCCTAGAGATTTATTTTATATTTCGATAACAAAGTTGTAACATTATGAAAATGAAGTCATAAAAGTACGGGAATAAATTCATAACATTAGGAGAATAAAGTTGCTACGATAATAGTTATACAATTACGTGAATAAAGTCAATATTACAAGAATAAAGTCATAATATTACAAGAATAAAGCCGTTAAATTACGAGAATAAAGTCTTAATATTACGAGAATAAAGTCTTAAAATTCCAAGAATAAAGTCATAATATTATGAGAATAAAGTCGTAGAATTATGACAATAAAATCATAATTTATGAGAATAAAGTAAAATTTACGAGAATAAAGTCGTTATGTTACTAGAAAAAAGTAAAAATTACAAGAATAAAGTCGTAATATCATGAGAATAAAGGTGTAATATTACGAGAATAAAGTAATAATATTATGAGAATAAAGTCGTAATATTATGAAAATAAAATCTTAATATTATGAGAATAAAATCGTTACCAGAATTAAGTCCACAACTTCTTTCAGAAGGAAAGCTTTGAGCATCCTCCCACAACAATATGATGGACGACCACCACCACCTAAAACAGCAACTTGAGTCCACTTTGTCTTAGACATACTGCCCAATTAACAAGTAAGCTGAAGTATTAATAATTTTGTTATTAATATTTTATAATTTTGAGTTGACAGGAGCTAACAGACTTAAAGGTTTTTGATGCAACATACTTCCAGCTTTATTAACCTCAGCAAAGTCATATAACATGTAGCGTTTAGCCTATTTCAGGGATTATATGGTCTACGTTTGTCGTTATTGCTTGTCGAAATGATCCGCTCCATTACTCGCATATGCATACTTAAGATAACTTTTGCTTGCCATTCCTGTTGTATTACAGTAACGTTACTTTGTTCAAACTAATGTTACCATCTTTCAGTACCCACTTAAATTAGACCCTACCAGTTACCATCTCTCTCTTCCCTAGGGAGGGGAGGACCGGAGTCGTTGAGATTAAAAAAGAAATACAGAAAGGCTAAACAAAGACCGAAATACTGTCGTCTCAAGTTCCAGGTTTTTTAAACTTTTAAACGCAGTATGTTATTTGACAAATGGAAGCTCACAGAACAATAGTTCATAAAATCTATATTTTATGTTGCCATACCTCAAGTTATATAGAATTGATTACAGCATGCACCTAAAGTGACATGGCAACTGCTCATAAGTGTCCAAAGATTATAGCAACACCAGAGAAACCAAAAAGGAATAGGTATAAATCAAATGAAATATTTTAATTTTACCTCTGGTAGCCATAAAATATAAATTTTTTCTTGGTCATATAAAAGTCGTACGTAATCAGTATGCAG